TAATAATAATAAAAAACAAACATGTCTGCCACCAAAGTTTGACGGACTCCACACAAAGAAGTTCGCTGATTTTTGTTCTAAACTTTTTGGATTCCGACATTCCCATGATGTATTCTTGGAAGGAAAAGATGTATAATAATAATAAGGTTATTATACCTTAAAGTATGCACTCAGACAGTACGCCGTCGTCGTAGATAGTACACATCTTTTTCACGTAGACATTGCCTTCATGCTGTGCGAACGTGGGAGAGAGCGCGCCGGGGAATTGTGTTTGGCCAATCCGTGCACTGCGCGGGCATTTCAATTATTTTAGCCAGAATCCGGGGTAACCTAAAACAAGCACCATCTCTCGTCCCGAAAGTATTAAAGTACATGTAATTGGTTCACGTTTTTATCGGTCGCATAATAAATTATTGAGGTTCCAATGTCATCGGTGTGTCGTTTCTTAAAGCAGGAGAATCGTCACATTCGCACGCGCGGGAATTGAGTCCCAAGCGATGCTAACAAAACGCTAAAAACGCAAAAGCTCACGGGTAGAAGCTTGTTTGTAAACAATGACACGCTATGGCCATCTGACACATGCTCAGATAACGACCCCCTTTAACCTGCGAAACTTTAAATTCTTGGACTTTTAATACGCCATGTTTTAGGATAAAAATGTATTCGCAGAATATTAGTGTTGAGTCCCGGGAATGCGTCTAAGTCCGTCGCTGAGGGCGCAAAAACCATGCTTGAAAAGACGAAAGATTCGGAGAGGCTGTGATACACGTGGTATTGATTATTCTGTCATCAAAACATGGCCACGATTTGTCACCCATAGGCCCACATTAGCGCACATCGTTTATAGAAGATGAATATCAAGTCAGTATAACAGATAACGGCTAATAGTTTGCAATATGATCCATCGTTAAAAGTTAGCAAAAGTTAAGTTTAATCGAGTATGGATAGTACTTGCATGAGAGACAATCTGAGCAAACCAGGTGAAAAAACATATATTTTTTTGGTTTCGGCACACTCAAGAAAAAGGCATTAAGCAATTTTTTGTCTATTCATTATTGCTGTGATGTCAAACATTTAGAGGAGAAAGTCATGTTGATTATTTAAGTTTTCGAAGTTTATGAAACGTTTTAAAATTTGTATGAATTCTACGAACAACCAGTTTTTGCAATTGAAAAGTGGGTGGGTTGACATATATATTTGACCTAAGTCATTGTCCTATCGACGCCGCTGTTTAAGAGCAATATGTAAAAGTTTTGGTAAAAGCCCCTCTTATCAAAAGATTATACCACTATCAAAGAGTAAAATGATAAACAAACTGCTTACAAAGTTGTGAAAAGTGATTGCAAAGTTTGTTGTCATACTATCGAGATCCATCGTTAAAAGTTCGCAAAATGAATAAATATGTTGTAAATAGCCGTTCTATTGTCGTAGGTATGTAGAGGTTATAGGTCAACTGACGATAGACCCAAGTGGAAACGATTGCAATTTTGAAACATTACTAAACATTAAATAACCTCCAATTGGGATAACATTCAAATGAACACATAGCTGAGTGGTCAGGTGATCTGTCTCTAACACAATTTAAGATTAATCGAGCATGGTTAGTACGGAGACAATCTGAGCAAACCAGGTGAAAAAATATATATTTTTTTGGTTTCGGCACACACAAGAAAAGTCGTAAAGCATTTTTTTTGTTTATCCTTTATTGCTGTGATGTCAAACATTTATATGAGAAAGTCATGTTGATTATTTAGCTTTTTGAAGTTTTTGGAATGTTTTAAAATTTATATGAATTTTCAATGAACAACTAGTTTTTGCAGTCGCCGCATGATGACCTGAGCTGTTAAAACAGCGTGAAAAGTTGTGTAAAGCGATTGCAAAGTTGGTAGATTTGTGTATATATTTGACGTAAATTGTTGTCATATCGTAAATAGCCGTTCTATTGTCGTAGGTATGTAGAGGTCATAGGTCAACTAGCGACGGGCACAAGTGGAAACGATAGCAATTTTGAAACATTTCTAAACATTAAATGGCCCCT